CTGGAGGGCGTCTAGGAGTAGGACGCCGAGCAGCTGGGCGTCAAACAGCAGGGCGCCGGGGTGGAGGGCGCCGAACATTGGGGACGCCGGGTTCGTGCTGCCGGCAAGCGACCGAGCTGGTCGAACAAGCGTGGTTGCCCGGTCGACCGGGATTCCCGGGCGACGTGTGCGAAGGTCGCCAGGGTGACGTTTGCGAGGCCGACCTCGGGGCTGGTATCCCGAGGTCGACGTGGCTGGTGGGCGCAGTCGCTGGCGTGGAGTCTGCCAGGCGTCTGCGTTGTGCTCGTGACAAGGTGTGGAGCGCAAACCAGCTGCACGCACATGCGAAGCAGGTGCACCGTTATCTTGCGGGTGCAACGCTGTGCAGCTGACTTGCTGCAGCGTTGGCGCACACTGTGGACTTGCAACGTTGGTGCACCGTGCTGCTCCTCCTCTGTGACGCTCTCCTTCATTAATGCCGCTGCTGCCGCCTTGCCCAATTTCCGCCAAGGGAGGACCGGGATCTGCCACATCTGCTATCAGATTATGTATGCTATATATGTTTAGGCTGTAGTGGGATAGCCAATATGGGGTACAACCCCTTCTAGGGTTTGACATTTGTACCCAACTCTTCCATAGTTCATTCATTCCTGCCTATACTTCCGAGATGGTTTCAGAGCAGTAGGTCCGTAGGACCGTCTTTTTTTTCAGGCCCACCTACCGCTACCCCACAAATGTGCCTGTCACTGTGCCTAGGACGTGCTGCGCTGCGCGCACTATCTGCATGCTGTCTACTGTCTGAGCTGTCTGCTGCTGCTTCGCGTGGAGACCTAATTCTAGCGCGCTGCCTCGTTTTTACCCACGCGGGTCGCCCTCTCCTGCCCGAATCGCGCCTCGGCAGCCGCGTCGCGTCCCGCGCACGGCTCGCACAGCCCGCGTCGAGCCCGCGCAGCGCGCCCGCAGCCCACAGCTGCCCCGCGCAGCCCGCCCCGAGCCCGCGCGGCCCACACCTGCCCCGCGCGGCCCGCACCGAGCCCGCGCAGCGTGCGTGCGGCCCGCCGCTGCCCCGCGCAGCCCGCCTAGAGCCCGCGCGGCGCGTCTGCGGCCCGCAGCGCACTGCGCGCCGTCCAAGCAGCCCGCGCCGCGCTCTGCCTGCTAGTGCGCGGCCCTAGGCAGCGGCGCGCGCCACCCTACCGCCGCCACGGCCTCGCCCTGCCGCCAACACGGCCCCGCCCTGCCGCTGACACGACCCAGCCCCGCCCTGCAGCCGAAACGGCCCCGCCCTGCCGCTGACTCGACCCAGCCCTGCAGCAATTGCCGCGGCCCTGACCTGCCGCTGTCGTGGCCCCAGCCCTGCAGCTGACGCGGCCCTTCACTGTAGCCGCTGTTGCGGCCCCGCCGTCGCCGCCGTCGTGCGCCGACCCTGCCGCCGTCCGCCAAGCACCGGCCCTGCTCGCCCGGTGAGCGCCTGCTCTTCCCGGCACTGGTGAGCACCTGCCTTGTTAGCGCGCTGCCACGGCGCCTGCCTGCCTGCCCGCCGCCTGCCTGCCGGCCTGCGTGCCTGCCTGCCGGCTTGCCGGCCTGCCTGCCTGCCTACCTGTCGCGCCTGCCCTGCACGCGCTGCTGCTGCTACTACAGCTATTGCCACTGCTACTGCTACTGTTGCTACTGAAGGTGGCCAGATGCAGCTCCAGCAACGTCCGCGTGAGTCCTTCACGTCCCATCAGCTTAGTGAGTGGTACGCTAGTTGGGGTTGTAGGGGTGGCCGCGCTGCTACTGCTGCTATGGCTGTTACTGCTGCTACTGCTGCTACTACTGCTACTGCTGCTACTGGCGGTGGCCAGATGCAGCTCCAGCGACGTCTTCGCGAGTCTCGCACGCCCCAGCAGCTTCGTGAGTGGTACGCTCAGAGTAGAGGTCTCTCAGTACCGTTCGCTGCCCTTACGTCATTCACACTGGTGCTCGAACTGGTAAGACTTGCGGGACGCTTAGTCACACACAGTCCCGCTGCTTCGCCCGTCTGAGCGACGCCTGGCGTACCGAGTTTGGCGACGAGGCTGAGCTCCCGGACTAGGTGGAGCTGCTTGGGCAGAGGGTAGATATATTTACTCTTGACTATGATGGTATTCTCACTGCCATGTATGCATTGCCTACTAGTGCTGACCGTGCCTGTTACCTGTGCGTACCGCCTGACCCAGGTATAGAGCCTGCTGCTCTAGGTGCTGGTGAGGCTGCTGCTCTAGGTGCTAGTGCGTCTCCTGCTCCAGGTGCTGGTGAGGCTGCTGCTCCAGGTGCTGGTGAGTCTGCTCTCTCTGGTACTTCGCCTGCTGCGACCTTGCACACCTCCACCCTTGACTCAGGATCTTCCCGCTCCTTCTTTCGCGACTGCACCACACTCACGTCGCTTAGTCGGCAAGTTGCAGTCTCCTTGGCAGACCCCTCTGGGGGTCCAGTCCTTGCCCACTACTCCACGGTTCTGCCGTGTCCGGCCGCCCCGTCTAGCTTGCTGTCAGGTCTCTACCTCCCCTCATTCTCTACGAACCTGGTGAGTGGAGCTGACCTCCAGGATAAGGGGGTTGACCAGTTCACTCCTGCGAGTCAGCAAGTGACTCACTATACGTGTGCTCAGACGGGTCGACACCTGGCCACGTTTACCCGTGAGCCTGGCTCGAGCCTGTACACCCTAACCACTGAGTCCCCTCAGGTAGCTGCGTCTGCATCTGCTTCAGGTTAGTTGTCGGCCCCCTGCTCGTGTCGCGCCTTGTCGCATCAGACCCTCCTTTGGCACCACCGCCTTGGTCACCCCTCGGTGCAGCGCCTTCGCAGCATGCACCGCCGTGTCCTTGTCTCTGGTCTTCCCATGGTTCTCCCTCCCCTCCCACCCTCGCCTGCTCCTCCCTGTCTTCCCTGTGTCGAGGGGCGGCAGCGCGCCGCTCCTCACTCCTCCTCGTTCCCTCTCATAGAGGCTCCCCTGCAGACTCTCCACCTGGACATGTGGGGCCTAGCCCGCGTCCGTGGACAGGGCCACGAGCGGTACTTCCTGCTGGTTGTCGACGACTACACGCGTTACACCACGGTCTTCCCCTTGTGCACCAAGGGTGAGGTGCCTGATGTTTTGATCCCTTGGATCCGCGCTGCTCATCTCCAGCTCCGCGAGCGGTTTAGGACGGAGTTTCCCGTTCTTTGTGTGCACTCTAACAGAGGTGGTGAGTTTTCCTCCGACCTCTTGACAGCCTTCTGTGAGGAGCACGGCATCACCCAGTCGTTCACGCTTCCGGCCTCTCCACAGCAGAATGGGCATCACAAAATCCCTATGCCAAGTTTGGACGAATTTTGATTTCGATTGTCTTCGCGTAAAAAAATCCGGAGCCAATTTGGACCGACGGTTGGAGTCATTTGATAGGAGCTCCGAGACACATCTTGCGACAAGGTTTGGCTCGGTTCAAGTTCCAATTTGGCACGCGAGCTTTTCCGGATGACATTCGGGCGCAATCCGTTTTGTTGCAAATTCGTGACCAAATTATTCAGAACTAAATTCTGTTTTTGTTCATTTTGGATATTGAGGATTTCAAAATTGCATTTATTATTGCGGTTTACAAGAACCATTATTCAGCATTCTAGCAACAAGCAGTCTTAGCACCAGGTCGAATAGCCTACGCACTGGCGGGCCTCGAAAGCGCTCGGTGGGCAAGGACGACATCTCCAAGGTCGCCGTCGTCGATGAGGAACTTGCTCGGAAAGACGAACGCACCCATAGCCGGATCGTGGGGGATCCTATGCTCCACGACAGCAAAATGGATCATCTGTTTGACCTTTTCGCACCACTCCTGGTAGTCTGGCCTGTTCTGCTCCGGCTGGCTACTTATTCGCTTGCGACGCTTATTCTGCAGAAGGGGCCATTCGATCTGCAATGTGGTGTAGGGTTGGGTGGATGGTTTATGAGGAGGGTAGGTTACGGGTAAATGAGGCAACTGAAAGCGGTGATGCAGTTGTCACTATCTACGTAACTGCAAAGGCCTAATCGTCCAGGGTTTTAGCTGAAGTACAGGCAAGGGGTTAAGGGGATGAGGCATGGGGGTACAAACACATATCTACATCCTTACCGAAAACAGGCCCCATGCCACCATGCGGCTCTTGAACTTGGTGAACACCGCCCCGCCCCTCTTGAAGGAGAGTTTGAACACATAAGCGAACAAGGGGTTGCTGAAGGGTGTCCCGGTGGCCTTGTCAAAGTGCCAGTTGGGGGCCCACTGTTCTGCTTTTTGGCAGGGAGGGTATGGGTTGGAAAGGGTTTTGTAGAGAAATCAAATGGGGGGATGAGAGTTAGGGTGAGCCAGATCGCACGGTGATATGTAGCTGCCAAGGGGCATATGGTAGGGCATATTGTGTTTTCGAGTTGCACTGCACATACCATCTCTGTACTCGGCTAGGAGTTGATCGTCGTCGAACCAGGTCGTTGGGTGTAGCTCAGTGGGCAGGCTATCCACGAGATGGCTGTAATCGGCAAGGCCCATGCCGGTGTATGCTGCTGGCCTGAGGGTGGAGTTGATAGTTGACCTTGTTGAGGACAGCTGGTGGTTGAAGACTCCCATGGTTGACTTGTCATTGTGCAACCACAGCAGCTTCATTGCCTCGAGCCCTTCTGCAGACAAGTGGACAGAGAACGCTTCGAACACTTCCTCCGGTGCAGGGTAGTACTGTATTTTCTCCGGCGGGTTCAGAAACATGAGCTGAGAGCACACTAAGTAGGCTTTGTTCTGCGCAGGGGTGTAAGGTATACAACACGACATGGAAGAGAGAAACCAGCAGTTATGAGGGTGGCCTCGTGACCATGGGATGGTGACTAGCAACACTGTTTGAAATTGCCACGTCACACCCTGCGCCATCAGACACGTCCACCAACAACCCAGCCCACTTGCCACGTCACACCCCCCTACCACAAGCCACGTCACCCCCCACCCACCTAACACGCCTCGCTTTGTCATGCGCAGTGGTCACGTGTACCATTTCTAACCGCCACGTCATCCCCAACCCTCACCTTCCACCACGTCACACCCACCTGCATCCGCCACGTCATCCCCAACCCTCACGTTCCGCCACGTCACACCCTCCGGTCCGCCACGTCCACCAACCAGCCCCACGTGCCACGTCACACCCTCCTGCATCCGCCACGTCCACCAACAACCAGCCCCACGTGCCACGTCACACCCTCCCACCCCATGCCACGTCACCCCCCACCCACCTGACACGCGTCGCCTCGTAACGCGCCGCTCCCGTGTACCATTCCAAACTGCCACGTCAGCCCCAACCCTCACATTCTGCCACGTCACACCCTTTTGCATCCGCCAACAACCCGCCCTACTTGCCACGTCACACCCCCCACCAAGAGCCACGTCACCCCCACCCACCTGAGACGCCTCGCTTCGTCATGCGCCGCTCACGTGTACCCTTTTAGGGTGCCACGTCATCCCCAACCCTCACCTTCCGCCACGTCACACCCATCTGCATCTGTCACGTCATCCCCCACCCTCACCTTCCGCCACGTCACACCCTTCTGCATCCGCCACGTCCACCAACCAGCCCCACGTGCCACGTCACACCCTCCTGCATCCGCCACGTCCACCAACAACCAGCCCGACGTGCCACGTCACACCCTCCCACCCCATGCCACGTCACCCCCCACCCACCTGACACGCGTCGCCTCGTCACGCGCCGCTCCCGTGTACCATTCCAAACCGCCATGTCAGCCCCAACCCTCACATTCTGCCACGTCACACCCCCCAGCATCTGCCAACAACCCGCCCTACTTGCCACGTCACACCCCCCACCAAGAGCCTCGTCACCCCCCACCCACCTGAAACGCCTCGCCTCCTCATGCGGCACTCCCTTGCACCCTTTCACACCGCCACGTCATATCCCAACCCTCACATTTTGCCACATCACACCCAACCCGCATCCGCCACGTCCACCAACAACCCGCGCCACTTGCCACGTCACACCCACCCACCCCATGCCACGTCACCCCCCACCCACCTGATACGCGTCGCCTCGTCACGCGCCGCTCCCGTGTTCCCTTCGAAACCGCCACGTCAGCCCCAACCCCGCCCTTGTTGCTACGTGAACCCCAACCCTCCCCATGTGGCCCGCCACATACCGGGAATGGGTTTGTCTCCTGCAACACTAGCACTCGTGCCTTGTCCACGGCGCTCATCGGCGGCGGGGTACCAGCCATAGGCAGGGCTGCCGACCCGCTGGCATAGCTGGCAGGTACTCCACGACGCAGGCCGAGCTGTGCAAACATGGCGTAGATCTCAGACCGCAGCGCCTGGAACTCCTCCCGTGTAACAAAATGCTCGTGCTCCGCACTTTCACCTAGGGCACCCATGAGCGGAGGAAAAGGGTGTGAAGAATCCCCCCTCTGGCCAAGGGGATCAACGTCTTCTGCAGCAGTCCCGTGTGCCCTCACACTATCACGCTAGCGGGAAAAGGGGAGCTCAGGGAAGGGATTGGCATAACTGCCGGCCTGATGCCCGCGCGAAGGATCGGCGAGAGGGGAGACCGCCCTGCCCCGGACAGGAGAAGCGTGGAGTTGCCGAAATTGGTACGAGGGTGAGGCGAGTGGGGACTGCGTGACGGGGGCGGGTGGAGGGGATTCGGATTCCTCTCCTCTTGGCGCGCCTGGTGCCGTCGCAGCGACTATGCTCGGGCTGGCCCATGGCGTGTAGTACCTTGGTGCTCTGGAGGAGAGCGGTGTAACACTTGCTCTTCCGGCAGCCTTTGTTAGATGCATTCGTTGCACGCTAACGAGCGGCCCGATGCCTGTAACGCGAGGGGCTGAGATGTAGAGGGAGCCGGAAAAAATAATTAGAGTCGATCGGTTTCAAGGCGGGGCCAGACATGCATGCATATTCAGGAAGGTTTGAATCTAGATCGGGTTCAGGGTTGTACTGGTTTGAGACAAGAGGGTTTACCTTGCTTGGCAGATTCGTCGACCTTCTCCTTCCCTGCATGGGAGAAACAATGTGAAAAAAGGGTGTTTTTTGGCACGGTTTAGCAGATGGTTCAACATGTCACGCCAGTTTTATTGGACACAATGCTCACCTTTCTGCTGTCCCTTCGGTTTTGGGGCAGCCTGCACCTTCTCGTTGCCACCTTTCCGCGGGGTGCTTTGGCGGACGCTGCGACGTTTACCAGCAGGTTCTTTCTTGCTGGTACCCACTGGAACCCCTTTGGCGTGGCCACCCTTTCCTCCTCCATCCCCTTTTGCTCCCTGGCTCCCTTGCTTTTTACCAACCCCTTCACTTTCGACCTTCACCTTACGCGCCTTCGGTTTGCCCGATGCTTCGCCGCGCGAAGTGTCAACTGCCCCGCGTTTTCGGGAAGGGCGAGTCCGGCCCCCCTCCTTCCCTGTACCACTCACCCGTCTGCCACGCCCGCCCCGTCCCTTCACTGGCGCCACATCCTCCTCCTCCTCCTCCTCCTCCTCCTCCTCCTCGTCCTCCTCCTCCTCCTCCTCCTCCGCTGCCTCCTCCTCCTCCTCCTCCTCCTCGTCCTCCTCCTCCTCCTCCTCCTCCTCCTCCACATCCTCCTCCTCGTCGTCAACCTGCTCCTCCTCCTCCTCCTCCTCCTCCTCCTCCTCCTCGTCCTCGTCCTCCTCCTCGTCCTCCTCCTCCTCCTCCTCCTCCTCCTCCTTCTCCTCCTCCTCCTCTGCCTCGTCCTCCTCCTCCTCCTCCTCCTCCTCCTCCTCCTCCTCCTCCTCCTCCTCCTCCTCCTCCTCTGCCTCCTCCTCCTCCTCCTCCTCCTCCTCCTCCTCCTCCTCCTCCTCCTCCTCCTCATCCTCCTCCTCCTCCTCCTCTTCGTCCTCCCCGCCATCATTCTCATCTTTTTCATCCTCCCCAACATCCGCGTCATCCTCCTCCGCTTCCTCTTCATCCTCCTCTCCCTCCGCATCCTCCTCCTCATCCTCCTCCTCCTCCGCATCACCGCGGTCTTCATCGCCCCGTTTTGGCTTTGTTCCCGTCGCTGCTTTCTTGCCTCTCCTTCCACCGGATGCTTTTCTTGCTGCGGGTCGGCCCTTCTGGCGCAATGCTTGACCGCCCGCCTTGCCACTAGCTTCCTTGGCGCCTCGCGGTGTCCCAACTGCCTCGCCTCCGGCGTCGTCAGCACTACCTGTCGTCTGCCGCCTCTTCGCCCGCGTAATGAGGTCCCCGGGCACGGCGGTGTCATAATCATCCTTCGATCGCTCTTCCTCTGCCTACGCCTCCCCCGTCCACCAGAAGGTGGAGAGCCACCGGCCAGCCCCACTGAGTCGTGCTCCCCCACCTTGTCCTTATCCAACATGGCTGCAGAAACTTCGACCACGGTCGGCTGGAGCAGCGTCAGATGGTGTTGCGTTGCCGCCGCCTTGGACTCCTTGGTTGCGGCATGCTCGGCGCAGGGATCGCCTCCGTGATTTCCCTCCATCGCCGATCCCTCCATCTCCGCCGACGGGAGTACAAGACTCGCGCTCCCTCGCCCCGGATCTTCGTTGCTGCCGGTGAAGTACCTCTTGGCTGATGACTGTGTTGCGGGGGGAATCGTTTGAGATGCGTCGGCCAATCACGGTTGCCAACGTATAAATCACTAAATTTTATTCAAACATACAACAATGCATTTCATCAAACTCTAAGTTGCAAATGGTTTACCACGGGGTTGGGGTAAGTTAATCGGTGATTCTTACGTTACACACACAACGACCGTCCAGAATTATTACTTGTGACAGATGTAATGTGCACTTTTAGGCTTTGCCACAATGGTTTAGGGCCAGAGGACGACATTCTAACACGATTATCAATAGTAACAAACGTGAATCCGTTGTGGTATGGTGTTGGATTGTCATCCATTCTTGCAAAGACATTAAACAAGGTGCTTAGAAGGAGTTGTATGAAGCACAGGCCCAACGCATAAGCGTAGATGCGTTATCGACAGCCATGGTTAGACTGTGCGACGATGCAGCGTTCAGGCCTGTGGGTTGCGCAACATTGTGAATCCGTTGTGGTATGGTGTTGCATTGGCATCCATTCTTGCACAGACATTAAACAAGGTGCTTAGAAGGAGTTGTATGAAGCACAGGCCCAACGCACAAGCGTAGATGCGTTGTCGACAGCCATGGTTAGACTGTGCGACGATGCAGCGTTCAGGCCTGCGGGCTGCGCGACATGGTGAATCCGTTGTGGTATGGTGTTGCATTGGCATCCATTCTTGCACAGACATTAAACAAGGTGCTTAGAAGGAGTTGTATGAAGCACATGCCCAACGCACAAGCGTAGATGCGTTATCGATAGCCATGGTTAGACTGTGCGACGATGCAGCGTTCAGGCTTGCGGGTTGCGCGACATGGTGAATCCGTTGTGGTATGGTGTTGCATTGTCATCCAACATTGCATGGACATTGAAACCGTTGTGTTATTGTACGACATTGTAATCCATTCTTGCATATTCATTCAGCACGGTGCGTAGAGGTACACTACACCTCGAGAGAAGACACGCTATAGGTATTCGCTCCACGCAACAATCATACGTTAGGGCATGGAGTTATTGGATACTTCCCATATCGTTATCAAGTAAGGGTTGTTCAACATCAGTCCTAAGGATATGAATTACTAGTTATGAATGACTTGAGTGTCTTGTTAAGTTGTAATTGTACATTTGCATTTCCATGTTTGTTTGAAGCCTCTTGAGCTCACCTACGTGATTCTGATTTCCCCCCTATATCGATTCGCGACACAATCACAGATCCAAACGGATCTCTTCCCGCTCTTCCTCATCCCCCTCGACTCTCATGCACGGTTCCTAAACACAAGTTCTTGATTCAATAGGCACGTCCTTCTCACCGTGCTCGTGACGCACATACACGACCTTGAGACTTCAGATCCTCCGCATTCTCCTCTGCTCACGTCGTGGTCACTCTAAACGGGGGCGACACGCCTTGTAGGGAAGACGGCCCGTGAGGTGGGCGGTCTGTATCGTGCCTAGTAACGACCACGCGGCTCGACATCGTTAGCCAGTCATAAACATTAGCGCCAATGTCAAGTGCCAGTCGTGCAGTGATACAAGCCGCCCACCATAGTGCGCGCATTGGCGATTACCGTGTAGCTGTCACAGGCTTCTTGAACGCTGTACTTAATGCGTTCAAAAGCTTCATCACGGCTAGTAGCTTCATAGGCAATTTCTCGACTCTACAACGGATCCGTAACACATGGGCTCTTTACCAGGCGTCGTCTGCGAGTTCTGCAGCAGATGGTTCCCCAACGCCCAAGTTTATGGCAGTCATAAGTCACGGCGGACCCCTTGCCAAGGACTATCCGCCATGGCAAGGCCGACGCGATCTGCACCGACCGCCGATCTTCACGCTCTGCTATTCGTCCACGACATTCTGTCGGACACTCCAGCCGCTCCCGGTTCACCTACAGTGTCTAACGCATCCAACGCCGTCAGTGTGAGCGGTCCTCCACGCGTGCCTGAAGCTCACGTTGACGAAACTCCCAACGACGTGAACGAGGGGCCTCCTGAAGCTGAACATCAACCACAACCAGGAGCTCCTGCGGCTGACACGAGTGACCATCCTGAGAGCCGGCCCGAAGGGAGTCATGCCGCGCCGCCAACTATCATCTCCGGACAGAGCAATGCCACGCCCCTCAATCCGCTCGCGTTGAAGCTGCTGCATTTCGTTCGGCGCGTGAATGGCGGAATGGGAATGGCCGAGGTTGACATCAACGGCCTGCTTCAGCTAGTAGTAGAGCCCCGCCTTGTGCCTCTCGTGACCTCGGAGCTCCGGAACTGTAAAGATCTGGAGCGGTTCGAGATGGAGCGTTTGGCAGGGCTCAATCGTAGATGGTCGGTGGCGACCTTCGAGATTGACGGTCATCCACCACAGCGCTTGCTCTTTCAGTATTCAGCCCAATTAAGCCGACTTTGCATTCAAGGCCGTGAAATGATGATGAGGCACACAGGGTTTGCATGTACGTAGTTATCCTTGTATTAACCGTACACCCACCTTCACCGCCACTAACCATGCCTCTCCTCTCACCTGCCTTCGCCACCGTACACCAGGCATTCGCTGAAATGTTTGGACATCCAAACAACGCGCCCGGCTTCAAGCTCAAGGCGCGTGTTGATGAGGACCCTGACGCAGGCGGCCGTCGCTATACCACGCCTGAAACAGGAACGTGAATGATGCTCAGGTAAGGAAATACCACGTTGCCACCCCAAACCCAATCCCTGCTCATGCCTCCATCGCTGCACTGATGTGTCAAGAGCATCTTGAGTGTTAGAATGTGTGTCCGTTGCCGCTTTGTCGTGCACTGCAGGAACACTTCGGTTGGTCCGAAGTTCTGGGGGGGATCATCTTATATTCGGATGTGACGCACATGAGCAACAACGGCCGGAAGAAGGCGTGGCCGCTCATGATGACGCTGGCCAACATCTCCCAGGCCTAGCAATGGGGGGGGGTCGGGCACACACCACTTGCCCTCCTTCCTATCCCCCCGTCTGCAATGTCTGCCGTGGAGAAGGTGATGCTCTTCCAGCGTTGCGTCATCACCGTGCTGCAGCCGCTTCTTGATGGCATCGCCAGGTCCGTACTCGGTTTGCATCTTGCTAAGACATCATCTCACCACCTGCATGGTATGCAAACCCTCTCTGTATGTAGCGTGGCCCTTTGCCCCTTGTCGTTCCTCCCTAAAAGCCGTAACCCGAATTCCTGTTGCCCCTCTACCTGTTCCTTGCAGCGGGTTCCGTCTCAGGGACCCTTTCGGTGATTGGCAAACCGTGCGGCCCCTTCTGTACGCCTGGGGGTGTGACTACCCCGAGAGCTGCAAGATTAGTTGCACACTCTCGCATGGATCACGGATGCCGTGCAGCATCTGCTATGCTGCAAAGGTGAGGTCACATGCCATCTGCACGCATTCAAATACATTCTCGTTTGTGGGTCGCCTGATAGAACCCACATAGCTACCACCCTTACCTTTTCTATCCCATCCCTCACCCCCGTGCTACAACAGGAGCATCTGAGTGCTGTCAAGGCACGGAACACGCCGCGCACGCCTGAACAGCAACAATGGATCGTTAACGAGGCGGCTGGGACGACAACTAGCCAGGCTGACCCGTGCAAGGCCTACTCTACCTACCCTGTTGAGGTGAGTCACCTGTTTCCCCGGCTCATGAGTAGTCTATGCTCTCGCCCGCCCCATCATGAATCGCCAGATGTGCTGTGCCCCATTGAACTCACCCCACTTGTGGTTTAGGTTAGCTATCCACTCTCACGTACATCTCTCCTCCATTCCCCACCACATCCCCATTTCTAGTGCGTGCTCTGGAAGTGGGATGTCCCAGGGACCGCGTGGGGCAATCCCTACCTCGTGGTGATGCTTGACATCATGCACCAGGCGGACCTGGGCATCATGAGCCACATTGTGGCTGTCGTGCGCAAGATGAAGAAGCGGCGTGTGAAGCAGATGGACAGGTCAGTGTTTTGGGGATTGGATTCGTTGCTCTTCGTCACATTTACTCAAACCATAAGTTCTGTCCTATTACTGACATGTTTCTGCCCTTTTGCCACCGCTGAACTGATGTGTATGGGCAGGCGCCTGTCTCTCATTCGCGACCGCACGCGCCTGAATCACATGCGCCTGCCGGAGAGCACCTACTTCGAGACCGGAGCATGTGTGGCGGCCTATGAGCACAGGGCCGTCATGCAGGTATGAACCCTCTATTTCCTGTTGCTTGTCCTGGGCTAAACCCTCAAGTAGTCTGCTCATGCTGCCATTGTTTGTCCCAACTCCTCACACCATCTGTGCTCACCCTCCCCTTTGCTGCTATCCACATTCTTTGCAGGTCATGGTGTTTGTTTTTGCAGGCCTGCTTTGCAAGCCCCAGATGGATGCCGTTCGTGCCTATTTTGGCTGGTACATTCTGTGCTCCCAGCCACAGGGGCACACTGAGCGGTCCCTCCGGGAGCTGAAGAAGATGACCTCTCAGTAATAATACCACGCATGTAAACCCCTGTGCATGGGATGAATGCTTGGCTACTGTAAATGTGCTCTTGTAGTAGGCAATCTTGTGAGGATGTTGCTGCTAAACTTTGATAGGAAAGGATCAGGAATAGGGAAGCCATATGAATAAGTAGACTCTGTGATTGCATGTGTTGTCATCTCCCACTCCCATCAGGCTCGTTGAGCAGTTGCAGGCTGCGTTTCCAAAGCAGCCATCCTCTTGGTGCCTTATGAAAACACATCTCATGTCGCACTACATCGACTCCATACGTCGCGCGGGTCATGTGACTAAATTCAGCACCAACATGTT